ACACACACACACACACACACACACACACACTCTCTCTCTCTCTCCCATTCCCTGGTCAGTTACACACACACACCCCACTTCATTCCCCAGTCAGTTACACACACACACACACACACACACCACTTCCATTCCCCAGTCAGTTACACACACACACACACACCACTTCCATTCCCCGGTCAGTTACACACACACACACACACACACACACACACTCTCTCTCTCTCTCCCATTCCCTGGTCAGTTACACACACACACCCCACTTCCATGCCCAGTCAGTTACACACACACACACACACACACACCACTTCCATTCCCCGGTCAGTTACACACACACCCCCACTTCCATTCCCAGTCAGTTACACACACACACACACTCCCATTCCCTGGTCAGTTACACACACACGCACACACACACACACACCCATTCCCTGGTCAGTGGGCTCTGGCACTCGCGGTCCTTCTGCCCTCACCCTGCCGCTGCGGCTCTGCTCCACGCCAGCCAAGGCCCCGCTCACGTGGCGTCCGTGTCTCCCGCCCCTGGTGGCCGCGTGCCCCACTCGGGGGCGCTTGGGTCCCGTCCGGTTCCCTTGTGGCAATTCCGTCTCTTTGTTTCCAGCCGGGGACGATGATCGAGTGGGGGAACAACTGGTAAGCACCCTGCCTTCCGGCCGCCTTGTATTCCTGTCCGGCCGAAGGAGCCGATTTTATCCAGGGCCGTGCCGAGTGCAAACCACGCCCGGATCTCCCCGGGTCGTAACGTCCCCGTGATCGCTCCAAAGAGCAAGGTCTCCGGGTCGTTCGCTGGAAACGCCGGCTCCGCGTGCAGCGGCCGGCGACAAAGCCGACCGGATGAGAGGAACCGTTCCAAAACGGGAAGAGAATAAGACCGAGACTGTCGTACCACCGCCGTGTAAATCCAGGAGACGCCCCCAGCTTGAATCCGGCGCCCAGACGTGGCTGCCTCATCCCGCCCAAGATCTCTCGGCGCTGGAACAGGTCCAGAAAAGGGGCAACCAAAATGATGCCGGGTTTGGAACGGGGGCTCGTAGGAAGAGCGATGAAAAAGACGGGGAGGTTTCCGCTTGGAAAAGAGGAGACTAAGGGGGGATAGGAGAGAGGGCTATAAGATCGTGCCGGGTGGGGGAAAAGTTGTCGGCGTCTTCCCGCAATCTAAGGACGCACGACGAAATGAACAGGCAGCAGGTTTCAAGCACAAGGGTGGTTTTCTTCAACCTGTGGAACTCCTCGCCGCAGGACGTGGCGCAGGGCCAGGACTTGCACAGAGTCCCAAAAAGAGCGGAATAGACGGACGAGGGCGGTTTTCCTCACGCTGCGTTGAGTGCCGCCAACCTGTGGAACTCCTCGCCACAGGATACGGTGAAGACAAGAACGAGGGGTCACTAAAAGAAATGAATAGGTAGCAGGTTTCAAACAAGCCAAAGGAAGTTTTTCTTCATTCAGCGCACTGCCAACCTGTGGAACTCCTCGCCACAGGATACGGTGAAGACAAGAACGAGGGGTCACTAAAAGAAATGAATAGGTAGCAGGTTTCAAACAAGCCAAAGGAAGTTTTTCTTCATTCAGCGCACTGCCAACCTGTGGAACTCCTCGCCACAGGATACGGTGAAGACAAGAACGAGGGGTCACTAAAAGAAATGAATAGGTAGCAGGTTTCAAACAAGCCAAAGGAAGTTTTTCTTCATTCAGCGCACTGCCAACCTGTGGAACTCCTCGCCACAGGATACGGTGAAGACAAGAACGAGGGGTCACTAAAAGAAATGAATAGGTAGCAGGTTTCAAACAAGCCAAAGGAAGTTTTTCTTCATTCAGCGCACTGCCAACCTGTGGAACTCCTCGCCACAGGATACGGTGAAGACAAGAACGAGGGGTCACTAAAAGAAATGAATAGGTAGCAGGTTTCAAACAAGCCAAAGGAAGTTTTTCTTCATTCAGCGCACTGCCAACCTGTGGAACTCCTCGCCACAGGATACGGTGAAGACAAGAACGAGGGGTCACTAAAAGAAATGAATAGGTAGCAGGTAGAAAACAAGCTAAAGGATGGTTTTCTTCACTCCGCGCCCTGTCAACCTGTGGAACTCCTTGCTACAGGATGGGGTGAAGGCAAGGACTTGAACAGGGTTAAAAAAAGACCTTGCTAGATAGGAAAATGTATTTACTTATTCCCACCCTCTAAGAACGAGGGGCCACCAATTGAAAGGAATGGGCTGCAGGTTTCAAACAAACAAAAGTAATTTTTTCTTCCCGCAGCGCACTGTCAACCTGTGGAACTCCTCGCCCCAGGATGGAGTGAAGGCCAGGGCTCAAAAAAGAGCTCGCTAGGTAGGAAAAGCTATTTACTTATTCCCACCCTCTAAGGACAAGGGGTCACCAAGTGAAATGAAGAGGCTGCGGGTTTCCAACAAACAAAGGGACGTTTTTCTTCTCTCGGTGCACTGTCCACCTGTGGAACTCCTCGCCACAGGACGTGGCGCAGGCCAGGACTTGCACAGAGTCCCAAAAAGAGCGGAATAGACGGACGAGGGCGGTTTTCCTCACGCTGCGTGGAGTGCCGTCCACCTGTGGAACTCCTCGCCGCAGGACGTGGCGCAGGGCCAGGACTTGCACAGAGTCCCAAAAAGAGCGGAATAGATTGACGAGGTCCATCAATGGCCATTAGCCAGGAGTGGGAGGAATGGTGTCTCTCGCCTCAGTTTCTCTGATAGAGGAAGGATTATGTGAGGATTCCCTGTTGTGATGCGGCTGGTATCGGCCACTGTCGGAAGACAGGACCCCCTGGGCGGGATGGACGGTTGGTCTGGCCCAGCCTGGCCGTTCGTACGTTCTAATATATTCAAAAGGAAAAAAAAAATTCCCCTCGTGTGTTCAGCCCTGCCTTCGGGAAAGCCCAGAGGAAAATCTCTTCCCGGAAATACGTCCCGGCCTCGTGAATATAACGACACGTATTCCGGGTACCGTACAAGAACGAGGAGTCACCCAGTGAAGTGAAGAGGCAGCGGGGTTTCAAACAAACCCAAGGACGGTTTTCGGCACGCGGCGCCCTGTTAACCTGTGGAACTCCTCGCCAGAGGATGTGGCGTTGCAGGACGTGGCGCAGGGCCAGGACTTGCACAGAGTCCCAAAAAGAGCGGAATAGACGGACGAGGGCGGTTTTCCTCACGCTGCGTGGAGTGCCGTCCACCTGTGGAACTCCTCGCCACAGGACGTGGCGCAGGCCAGGACTTGCACAGAGTCCCAAAAAGAGCGGAATAGACGGACGAGGGCGGTTTTCCTCACGCTGCGTGGAGTGCCGTCCACCTGTGGAACTCCTCGCCGCAGGACGTGGCGCAGGGCCAGGACTTGCACAGAGTCCCAAAAAGAGCGGAATAGACGGACGAGGGCGGTTTTCCTCACGCTGCGTGGAGTGCCGTCCACCTGTGGAACTCCTCGCCGCAGGACGTGGCGCAGGGCCAGGACTTGCACAGAGTCCCAAAAAGAGCGGAATAGACGGACGAGGGCGGTTTTCCTCACGCTGCGTGGAGTGCCGTCCACCTGTGGAACTCCTCGCCGCAGGACGTGGCGCAGGGCCAGGACTTGCACAGAGTCCCAAAAAGAGCGGAATAGACGGACGAGGGCGGTTTTCCTCACGCTGCGTGGAGTGCCGTCCACCTGTGGAACTCCTCGCCGCAGGACGTGGCGCAGGGCCAGGACTTGCACAGAGTCCCAAAAAGAGCGGAATAGACGGACGAGGGCGGTTTTCCTCACGCTGCGTGGAGTGCCGTCCACCTGTGGAACTCCTCGCCGCAGGACGTGGCGCAGGGCCAGGACTTGCACAGAGTCCCAAAAAGAGCGGAATAGACGGACGAGGGCGGTTTTCCTCACGCTGCGTGGAGTGCCGTCCACCTGTGGAACTCCTCGCCGCAGGACGTGGCGCAGGGCCAGGACTTGCACAGAGTCCCAAAAAGAGCGGAATAGATTGACGAGGTCCATCAATGGCCATTAGCCAGGAGTGGGAGGAATGGTGTCTCTCGCCTCAGTTTCTCTGATAGAGGAAGGATTATGTGAGGATTCCCTGTTGTGATGCGGCTGGTATCGGCCACTGTCGGAAGACAGGACCCCCTGGGCGGGATGGACGGTTGGTCTGGCCCAGCCTGGCCGTTCGTACGTTCTAATATATTCAAAAGGAAAAAAAAAATTCCCCTCGTGTGTTCAGCCCTGCCTTCGGGAAAGCCCAGAGGAAAATCTCTTCCCGGAAATACGTCCCGGCCTCGTGAATATAACGACACGTATTCCGGGTACCGTACAAGAACGAGGAGTCACCCAGTGAAGTGAAGAGGCAGCGGGGTTTCAAACAAACCCAAGGACGGTTTTCGGCACGCGGCGCCCTGTTAACCTGTGGAACTCCTCGCCAGAGGATGTGGCGTTGGCCGCTGTCGGCAGACAGGACCCTGGGCTGGCTGGACGGTTGTTCCTAACGGTGCCAGCTGATCACGTCTCTCCACTGTGTCTGCCAGGGCTCGGGGGATCAAGC